CATGCGAGGAAACTATCCAGCTAGCTTACGGAACTTCGGTAATTATTCTATTTATATGCCCGTTCGTGCTTGAAATAATGCACGGAAGGGCATGGAGGTCTTCCCTTCACCAGTAAAGCTGGAAAGTCGCTATATGACCTTTACTGTGTTATTAAGACTTAAACCCCAACTAAAATCGTTTCATAATGTATCAAGGTACATTTCCAAGAAGAAAAAAAGAAATAAATATCCCGTGATATTTCATCAAGAAAATAATTATCCAGAAAATTATAAATGCAAATAATTCTGAAGAAGAAAATGAACGCTACTGACATTTAAACAAGGGTCAAACCTTAGCCCCCTTTAATCTAATTTATAATTTATTTTCTAAAAATTATAATTAATATGTATCCAATTTAAATTTCCAATGTTTTTTTCTTGTTATTCATACAGCATGTTGTCTTTTTTGTTATTCTTTTTTATCTAAATCCAGTTCCACGTGGGCAGATGTTGATTACTTCTGCTCAATCTTTGGCGGTCGCCAAAGGAAATGCCAGGTTTATTAAATATATAATAATAGCCCTTTTGGAAAAAAACAAATTTTCAAATTTCCCCCAAAACTTAAAAAATTCCCTTCCCCGGCTATCTTACATTTAAAACTTTAAAAAAAGCAGTTTTATTTGGGTGGGAAAAACCATTTGGGGGGCTTTTCTCGCCCCCCGTGGGAAAATTAGGGTGCTATTTAAAATTGACGGCAATCCCTTTACAATCTTTGGGGAAATTGAAAAAAGTTTCATAACAAAACAACTGTTTTTTACTTTTTTCTTGTTGATTATAACAAGGGCTCGTGAAAAAGTAAGGAAAGGGGGGTTCAAAAAGTAATTTTAGGGTTTTTTTAAACCCTTTTATTATCTTTTAAAAAACGGCCCTGTCTCGATCATTAAAGACTTATGTAAAAGTTTTTAATCCGTGCAAAATTTTCCCGACCAAAATCCCCGCCTGTCGTCTGCTTCTTTTTTTCTTGTAAAATTTCCCGAAATTCCTGAAATTGATCCCAAATATGATTGTTTTTAAAAAATATAAAACAATATTAAAAAATATAAAAAAATTTAAAAAATCAGATTTATAAAATTTTTGGAAAAAAACCAAATGAAAAAACATGGGGTAATTTTCCCCGTTGAGGCATTTTAGTAATTATATACTTGAAAACTTGATTTTTAAAAACTTGGGGCGCTTGTTGATGTGACATGGGGATTGGGGGTGGTGGGGTTTATGAAAGATGAAAAGAAAGATGATGATGATTTATGAAAATAATGCCCCTTGCTGATAAAAAATTGATTTAAATGATGATGATGATGAATTTTTTTTTATCAATTTTATTTTAAAAAAATCGAACTTTTTTAGGAAATTAAAGTTTTACAAAAAAGGCTTTGGGCCCCGATTCTATTTTATTGATTAAATTTTTTTTGCAAAAAAAGTTTCACAATCACAATAATTCTGGGTTTAAAAAATAAAATTTAAAAATGATTCCCAAAAAATCTTTTTTGCGGCGAAAATTTCTTTGGGGACTAAAAAAGAAATAAAAAAAACACTTAATTATTCATAATTCAGAACTAAATTTTTGTAGATAAATTTTAAATTCCAGAAAGTCCGAAACTGTCAATAAGAATAGCTTTGGGATATACTTTAAGTCGCTTTTACTTGAATTATCAGACATAAATTTCTTACTGATCTTAATTTAGGTAATCATCCAATATTTTTCCTGCGAAACGTTTTGCTGAAAGTTCAAACGTTGTTTCCAGCGTTCGAGAACGCTACTAAATTGTTGCCTTAAAACCCGGCAGCTGGTTGCTCTAATTTTTATAGCCTAAAAAGCTTTAAAATGACTAGGTGACTTAACTTTGCTCACGTGAAGTTGTTTTGGAGTGTAATTGGATTTCTTTATTAGTACAAAGTGTTTTTCAGGGTCGTTTGTTGACAACAGGTATTATATATAACCATAACAGACACGTGTTGTTCATATTTACATGTAGTCAATATATCTTAATCACACTAAAAGAAACAAGAACAAACAAAAAATGAGCTTGTAAATTTCACGTAGTAAAATTGTTTTCAACTTTTTTTTTTGGTTTTGTTTTTGTTTTTCGTTGATTTTTAGGGGGTTGGGGGTTTTGTTTTATTCATTTCCCCATTTTTGGAATTTCGGTACAGTCGTAAATGAAAATCAGAGGTAATAAAAAGTGATAGACGCTTGGAAAAAAATCTGATATAAAAACTGTCAAAAGTTATCAATGTATCTTCTCTCATATCACGTGGTGTATTCCTTTCTCCTAGTTTTGCCAATATACATAACATTAAACCTTCGTTAATTCTTTGTTTCTCGCATTTTACCAAAAAAGGGTCAAATGTGTTACAAACAACTGCGGTGGGTGAACAGTTTGTCCTTGTATTATGTCATGTCGGTACTGATTTCATAACGAACGGTTGTAAAAAATTGATTTAAATGGAGGGAATTATAGCCAACATTGTACAGAATTCTGCTCAAAAAAACAAGGTGCAAGTCTCGTGAGTAAGTCAATGTTTTGTGTACATGTCAACAACTTACCATTGCTGACTTGTATCACGTGGTCAATTCGTGTTTCCCATCTGCAGACACATAGAAGACGTGTGACTATGGCGATGGCGATCAGTGTTGTCATGGATTTTTTGATAGCGAGCAGTGCTTTTGCCGCAGTATTTTACCACTTCCATTCAAAGGTGCATGCAAATCATATACAAAAACAACAGAGTATCTTCCTTTGTCTTGGTGCTAATAGTATACAAAATAGGCATCACTTTACCATTAAAATATAATAAATAACTTATAAAACAGATTTTGATATTGTACATATATATATATATATATATATATATATATATATATAATATATATATATATATATATATATATATATATATATATATATATATATATATATATATATATATATATATATATATATTATTGCCCAGTATAAATCGGTGACCTGATATTATTGTGGCCGCTAGACGTCGGTAACGAGGTTATACGACCCAAGCCATTTAGCGGTGGCCACAACGTGGCTTCAAACATGGCCATATAACATGCCTAGAAGTCTTCCTGACGAAAATGTAACACAATTTCTTTCTTTGATCAAAATGGTCAACAAGAAATTAAAATAACTCGTAAATTTACATCAGTCCGTGTATATATAGATTATATAAACGACCCTTTTGACGAATGACTTGATATAATTGTACAAAAAACATGTATAAGTAAATCGAAAAATTATTTTGCTATTTTACAATGCTACGATACTGTTCTTGATTTTAAATGAAGAGTTTATCAAGTTTCAATTTATTAACTATAAATAACAAAAACTTAAAACTATCTTCTGTATTTATTGTAAAGGCTTGCGAATTATTGAATAGTAAGAGCTCTGAACTAAGTACGGGCCTTTAAGTCCTGCATTATAGTTCTCTTCAGCAGAAACTAAAGAACTTGTTTATATGAAACCCCTAAACGGACATTTCCCTCTTTCAGTCAATCGTATTACGAGAAAATTTCTAGATAAGTACTGACTGAATAGCAAACAGTGCAGATCATGAGCAGACGACACTTACCTTGGAAGATGGCGGCTGGTCATGGTCTGCACTGGTCGCATGGGTAGATTAGATTGGTGCCAATCGGGCTAAGAAATAAAGAAAAGGAAAAATAATAAAAAGAAATGTAGAGAAATATAAGTAATTGAACATTTTATTGTATTCTGCATTAAACGGTTTATTTGTTCAAATTGCTATCTCGGGTCTTCGATAAAAAAAAAAACTTGTAATATTTGATTTAACGTAATTTATTTCAAATCTGGTTCTTCGTGGTTTCTCGAAACAACACCGTAGGAGACGTACAACCTATCCTATAGTCCGAGGAGTCCATTAACAAACTCTGTAATTATACAAACAAAGGAGCGCTGGGCTATATATGGGAATTGTTAGTAGTTAACAATAATATTATTAGGGTATTTTATAACGATTCAATAGAATACATTTGAAAAAATGATAACTCGTTTTAAATTGCCATTTCCGACTGAAATGAATCATAGTGCCGTGGAGAAAAACTGACAGTTTGGCTACATTAAATTTTTATGTGGTTCTTTTAGAAACGGCCAAGTTAATTGTCAATGTAGCTCCCGATAACATAGTTTGTGCATTTTTTGTGCAAATATTTATTAAGATTTTTATTTTGTTTTCAATAAACGAAAGCAATATAAGTATTTTACCTAAATATAATCATATATATCTTTCGAATGATTTTTAAATGCCACTACCTAATGTTAACAACAGAACTCTAACTGTTTTATTTCAAATATGGCAAACTTACTCCGGCAATATAATGTTATTGCTATGCACGTGAGGATCACGTGCGGTAACATTTGATTGATTATTGTCAATCTTGTATTTTTTTTTCATTTATTAAAAAATATTTTCAAATATAACAAAATAAATCATATTATATATTCATTGAATATACACATTATTAATTAAATAATAAGGAATACATATTGTTTACAATAAAAGTACATCATTTTAATAAACGAAAAATTTAATTAAAACATTTTTTTTTGGTAAGTTTAAGTAAAAAAACTTTTTCATTTCTTTGTAAATCTGAAATTGAAATAGTATTGTCTGCAAATGTAAATGGTTATGAAGTACATGTAACTAGAAAGCAAATAATGTAAAAGGTCTCTTAAATTATACCTGACAATAATTTCCGATATATTATCATATCTCGATGCAAATAGAATGTGCTAATTTTCTACACGAGGGAAGAGCTTGAATAATTAGCAAGATCACAGTTTGTGTCAAAATCGTATATTCATAACAGACCAATAGAAACACACCATTGCTCTACCAGTGGTCTATAGTCTATATAAGGCCGCAATTGTAAGAACTATTCACTTGTGAAATCTGACAGATATTCTAGTGTATTCTAAAAGATATTTGATATTTAGCGGAAAGATACTTTGAACTCTTTAAGTGAATGTACGTTTTATTGTTTCTTAACATGCGCATATGTAGTATATAGATAGATATATTCAAAACAAATTTACATTTATATTAGATCTATATCTAATCAGTGATTGGAAGATATGATCGGAACTCATCAACACATGTATTTTGAGAATATATCTGGTAAGTTTGCATACATTTTTTATACCGCTGTTTATTTCTATTTAACATTTTTTACCCAATCTACGCTGCTATTTTTCTTGAATTCATTTTTATTTTCATTTATTTTCAACAGGGTACCGATACTATAGACTTTGTTTTCTTTCTTTTTTTATTCAAAACAGATTTCTCTTTTCCAAGACATAGATCTATTCATTTTTATATATAAAAATTCCTTTTTTCGTGTCATAAAATTCTTTATTTCTTTACACACGGTTAGGTTTTTTGCTACTTATTCAATATCTGTTTAAATGTATATACTTCATGCTGAGAAACATTTGCTAGGAAAGAATGTTAATATAATTTCAAATACTATAAAAAAAAACGAACAAATAAATAAATAAATGTAGTAAAGAGTTTACAGAAGAGCGTATATGAAATGTATGTCCAAAATATTTAAATACAGTATTTTATAGATCTATGCATTCTTGTTGATAATAAAATACATAACATAAAAAATATATATTTTTTATTAAAGGCCCATTGAGCCCAGAAAGCGCTATTATTTTTATTTAAGTTATAGTATTATGGATGTTATGTAACATACAAACAAATTTGAGAGAAAGTCTTTAAAACTTACCAATATAGCTTTATTCATTTTTCGATTTGATTCAAGATTATGTTTATAAAGAGATTCTATGACAATGAGCAGAATACTTATGATTAAGGACATTTTGGTAAAGATAATATATCACGTTTTCTAATACTATGAACACAAATGTCGTTTCTAACCTAGGGGAGGTAACTTTGTTCTGTAGTGAGATATGTTAAAATAAATTAACATTTTTTCCGATTTGAGCAAGTACACATGTATATTCGTTTATTTTTCTCTATTTCAACACAAGACTCGCTGTGTTTAAACTGAATATATATTGTTCGCCTGTTGCGAGTTCGATTTTCGCTTTTTATATACTTTTGTTGACAATTTGTTGCTCGTATTAGCTTAAACCTAATATTTTGAAGTTGGTATGCCCCTATTTTCTATTTTAGAGTATTAACATGATTTCCATTTTACATGATTTTATTTTACTTTATCGGAAAATCAACCGGATAGTATACATAATAAATTATATAGGTTATGTTTAATCTGTATTGAGTCATTTTCAGTCAACAAAAACAGATATGTTTACTTTCGCAAAAACCTTTACCGTACTGTAACGATTCAAAGCTGTAACTCCTAGTTTGCTTATCGTGAATTAATGCTACTATTCTAAATCAGATAAAGAAACGTTATTTATTTTTTGTAGAGGTAAACATATAGAAAGATATTATGGATATAGTGAAAATTGCACGTAAACATAATATAATGTTCGGACTGTTATGTTTAGTACTTAGTTTTTACCATTCCGCACAATAACCAAGTATATTTATATCATACAATGACTTGGGAAACGTTGTTTAAAATTCGAACAATACGTTTTTGGCAGAAATGCAGCTTTATACACTTTCACATACCGTGCTTATTAATGACATGCGTAAGTCATGCGTTGGTTCGTTGTGCTAGTGAAGATCCATCTCAAACCTTCGCATTTTCTTGATAGATTATTTAGAAAAATTAGGCGTCGCATTTTTTTCTGAGGGGGATGGAGAGAGGTGGGTCTTAATTATTTTCTTCTTCTTTAATAGAGGGTATTGCTGTTTCTGTTTGTTTCTGATGTTTGTGTTGTGGGTACCTCATTGTTTAAGGTTGAGGATTTAGAGTGTTTTATATATAAATTAATATCAAGTTAGTTATGATATTTAACATTCCTATATGCATATCATTAACATTCAACGCACTGTTTTATTTATTCAAACTTATATATTGTACTTACTGTATTAAGTGTAATACAAGCATATTGTAATGTGTCAAAAAATGAGGCTTAAGAGGTGTAAATATATAGGCCATTATTTAAACTGTTATCATGTACTGATTATAGAGATGTCACTTATTTCTACTCTCTTAATTATGACGTCCGCGTTTTAATCTTGTTAAATTGTGAAAATTGACAAGATAAAAATGAATGTATACAGTTAAAGTAAGATGTTCATGCAAATACAAGGTCACTGTCCTTTGCGCTTTTACCCTCGGCCAGGATAAAGTCCTAATATGTGAAAACGTTTAATGAAGGTAAATCCCTCAAATCTCAAATTTAATCTACCGATTTCAAAGCATCACAAATCCATTTAACAAATAGGGCATCCATCGCGTGGAAAAGTCGCATTCTTATGTTTCAAGTAATAATAACTGTGGGAAATTTCAGGAAGAAAATATATAAAGGTTAATTGAGTGCAGAGTCACGTGGTAGTCACGTGGTTACAACATGCCGGTTATTTTATTTCAGGTGTTGTTTTTTTTTTTGTTGTTGTTGTTTTTTCCCAAATATTTTCACATTGAGAACATTTCGTTTGTACATTCCATTTTTCTTTCGTGCAAAAAAGGAGTGGTGGCCTGGTGGCTCATCAATTCGATCCCTATTTGGTCACGACCATGTTTCTTCACATGACACCTGTACTGGTTACTTCCGGGAACCCAACGCGAGAGTAGTCTGAATTTGTATCATGCTTTGACTATAATGATAATAATGATGAAAATGATGATGATGATAATGATGATGATGATGATGATGATGATGATGATGATAATAATAACAATAATGATAATAATAATGATAATAATAAAAAAGAGGAAATCCTACCAAATGTAATAAGCCTTTGTCTCCAGCCTAGAGGCCAAGTCTGCACGTCTTTGCCGAAAGATCAAAATCAAAATCAGCATGATCAGGGTAATAGTTTTAAACTAATGCATTTTATTATTTTTATATTTTCAGATAAAGAATTAAAGCAGTATTACTATCCCAGCGACTATAGTCAATCAAGTACGGTAAAATAAAATATATATTGTTCGCTGCAAAGCGCTGAAACACTTAACAGAACACTTTTCAAGCAATTTCGAAATTTCATGGAATGGGTCAAAATGTATGTATCCAACGCAGGATTGTGTGTAATAATTAGTTTGGTGCTTTGCAGTTTTTCCTTTTAAAATGTTGTAAAAATATCAAATCCAAAAAACTGGGACATTGGAACTGTTTTTTCTCCAAATGTGATGCGTCAGTAAAGAATCAGTTTTGGTAAGAGAACGTTTTTGGATGGACAGGTAGAAAAAAAACATGCATGTACATGGATTTTGTGTTTTGTAATCTTCAACGAAAAGAGATCCTTTATTAACATGATCATAGTGAGAATTATAGAAAATATCTATCTCACTGATTGTTATTGCTATTATATATATTATGGGGATAATTCAAATTCCCTCTTTTTTACATAAAAGTATACACCAGCTTCACACGTGAATGCTTTTGGTATTAGCAGAGACTGTGGATTCAATTAACAGCAACTATCTGTCAATAAAATGACCAAACTATCTGTCAATAAAATGACCAAACTATCTGTCAATAAAATCTTCACATCGGAGAATTTAGTTGAGATACTGTGAGAACTCTTAAATTTGGTACTGAATAACTGAAAGATGAATTCATTTTCTTGATTTCAAAAACTATTTAGACAAGTCTGGACATGTATTCAGAAGGGGAAGAAATATGACAATTTACAACATTTTAAAAGATGCACATAATTCGGACGTCGATAATTCGGATTTCAACGTTTGATTTAGCTAATGGACCCGTAATGTTTGTACAAGATACCTAAAGCGAATTTTTCCAAGTGACATTAAAGGAATGACGCTGTCATAATAACATATGATTTGATCTCACGTAGCAGGAGACAGATTCTCAATTAATTTCTCAAAATTGCCACAGAAATAATTATTTTCTTTATTACCACATGGCCACTTTATCATAGAACTTTAATATAACTATTTCAAGCACTTACCGGATAAAGAAAAAGTCATGTTTCTTTACCGGACCAATGTAAGTACTGAAGAGAACGCTCCGACTAAGATGCACGCTACTGTAGTCCTGGTTGAACAGTTGCATTTTAGTTGCTGATTTGGTTTAAATCTTTATTTAATATGTAATTACATGGAAAACTCTAGATAATATAAAAATCATGGTCTGCATGGTCACTGGCCAAAAAATAACATCACCTTCGCATATAGTGTTAGTATGAAGTCTTTTTTCCTTTTTTTTTTTCTTTTTTTTGGTCCATTGGTCCAATTAATCAGTTTTTTTTCTGTCTAGCAGTACGGGTCCGATAACTTATATTATTGCACTCTAGTATTAATAAATTATACTTCAGCTCAAATTAAAAAAAAAAACGATTTTAGACACATAATAATTGAATTTATATGAAATAGTTAATTCAGTTACTATCCACGCAAGATCCCTCGTGCAATCGCTCTGTATATAGATTTTTTTTGATCGCTCGCACATTTATTCGACAGTGATATCAAAACAAAGACGTGTTGATCACATGTTTTAACTTTATGATATTATTATTATTTCTGACGGAGGTGATTATAGATTGAAAGTTCTTAGAAAGTGATTTGATTTAATTAATGAAATTATCAATTATCGAATGATATAAAATAAGAATGCAAGTTATGTTTAAAGATGGCGCTTGAAGGAACCTGGAATTCCAATTGTACGTTGTCCAGCAACTGACTATCAGTTTCAAAAAAAAAACAAAAACAAAACACTACGGAAACACTACTATTTATTGGTATTTCAATTGTAGGATCCAAACTCGATACTTGAAAATAAGATCAGTTGTTGAATATTCATTATTTTATCTATTCTGTGTATGTTTCTTAGTTTTTTAAAAGTGTTGTTGTGTTTGTTTGTGTGCGTGCGTTCGTACGTGCGTGCGTGTGTTGTTATATATGTTGTTGGGTGTATTGTTGTGGGATGGGGGATTTGTTGTAGTTTTTTTTTTTTTCAGTTAAAGAATCAAATTTTGGGTTTACTTGTTAAAAAGATTGCATTTTTCATATTTTGTTATTTTGTGTATTTGCAACGAACTATATTGTTTTGCGCACGGATTTTGATCAATGTTCTTTGGTCCCTGCAGGGATATTGAGATTGAGTTTATTGCCTTTCAAAACTAGAAAAGAACGAGAATAGCCGAAGTTATGTTACTTGATAAAATATACAGAATATTTTACGGGCACTTATCGGTTTAAAGAAACCATAATTGAAACGGAACGCCCAAATTTAGGGATAACATCTATATTAGACAAAACTTAGCAATTATTATTATTATTATTATTATTGTTATTATTATTATTATTATTATTATTATTATTATTATTATTATTATTATTATTATCATCATCATCATCATCTCAGTTTCAGTAAATAATGATTATGTGTTAGCTAGTGTTTTTTTTTTCTTTACTTCTGCGACGCACGCAATTTGATATTCGGAACACCTTGCCGAGTATCATTTATCCTTGTTGCAATTGAAAGCCTTGTTGCCGTGTTGAGAGTAAATCAGACGCGAGCGATTTTTTCTGCAATTCAATATACAATTCTTCTTGCTATTTTTATGACGAAATATTCATTTAGTTTATTCAAGAACATTCAAAATTGTCGCCTTTAGGGCAGCATGTTCCTTATTGGTTGTTATTTAATGACTGGACAATGGAAAGACACATTTTTGGCACTTCTGTTACAAAGTACACGCAGAGTTAATAGTCTGTCCGTACGCACTATATGTGTGAGACAAAATAACGGGAAACAACGGGCGGTGTGAAAACTATCTGTTTTGATGATGTCATCATATCGGTTCTTTCTCCTGCCGTAAAACGTGATCAGAAGTTTTCCATAGAACATCGTGTGGTGATATATATTTTTTCCCGCGTAAATGTATTAATGTTTATGCGCATGTGTGGCTTTACCCGACTCTTAAAAAAAAGAAACTATTCCAAATTAATTCAGAAGAATTACTATATCCGAGCCTCAGCGGTTTTCTTAAAATAGTAAATTAGGTAATAAAGTTTCTGGTATATTTTGTAACGAGAAAGCAAAAGAAAAGTATTTATGTTCATCAGTTATTTTTTATAACAAATTGCTCGTAGAGGCGATTCTTGAAAACGCTTCTAAAGAGAATTCTGTGTTTGGAAATGAATGGCTTCTTATATATTTACTTGTAAGCTTGTATGGGTTTTGTTCTAGTTAATTTCCGGGTGATAGGTGATTTTGCATTCTTTTCTTTTTTCTTCGGGGGGGGGGGGGGGGGGGGGAGGGAAAGGGGGGGCAGCAATGCATTAGAATTAGAGTAGCAGTTGTCTTTTATATATGTGTACATAATCTTTATAATTCATTTATCTATTTATTTAATCTCGTCTGACTAAAATTTTGCACACTCCATGAATTTTATGGCGTCATTAGACGGAAAAAATATAAAAAGATAGGCATGCTTAAAAAAGCAACAACAAAAAAAACGTTTCTGCACCAAACGTTACAGACATATTGCACACAACGCCGTGTAAAATTGTGTTCCGAAAGCTGTCACGTTGTAACAATGTGTGATAACTCGATACTTCGAAAAAAACGCGCTAATATTTCATTCACAAGTAATTAACTATATTAACAATACATTTGCTATGGTTAAACATTAATGATATACTCTTAAATATTAGTTTTGTTTTAAATAGTGTTGACTTTACATTATAAATTTTGAGCTCAATATATATAAAATAAAGTAAGAAAACGTCCAATGTAAAGTTTTTTTGTGTTTTTGTTTTAATTTTCTATGTTTAAAGTATTTTTTATCGTTTTATATCAAAACTTTGCTAGCTTGAATACTAACATTTCCTCTAAAATCCGCCTAATTGTTCTTTTATTTATTTTATTACAGCGCGTTTAAAGCCAATTCAACTACTAAAGTGTATGGTGGCTGTTTTATTCGATATCGACCTAGTTCTATTTATAGACTATCGTAGTAAATCCATGCTTGCATACGCGTGACTACTGTTTAAACGATAGGTATATAGAATAAACCGCACGTGAGGGAAAGCGTGTATAGTAATTAAATTGTCTACGAGATTTTTGTTTGTAGTAAACATTTTATTAAGAATTGTCATTTCAGTTTAAGGATTGCATTTGTAACGAAGTGAAAATTGGAAGCTGTGATTTTAAAATGAATTCTGAACTTTCAGTGATGGACTACGAGGAGAATAACTCTATGAAAATGCCTGTTAACGAAGGACCAACCTCAGCCCCCAAGATCCTGGTGCCCGATGAGCGGTTCGTTACTTTATTTTACTCATTTAGATTGCTAATTAGATACATGATAATGCACTTACATTATTTGTAAAGCAGTTAATGCTTAATGAATGATGCCCTTGTTATGTTTATATTGTTAATTTGTATTTGTACATGTATGCATGTTCGGGTCTGCACGGGTAATCGTGACGCACGGGTCTTGGCCTAGGGGACGTGATGTGTGAAAAGCCCTCGGGATATTTGTATGTGCCTTTTCAAGTCATTTATCGGGGAGGGTGTTTAAACTACGTATATATACATAATGAACATACAATTTCCTTATATACATGTAGTACAAATCTATACATGTATGTTCATTTTCAATTACGCTATATACATGTAGTGTAGGAATTTTTATGCTCATTTTCAATTATGCACATTATCCAATGATTAAAATGCTACAAGTCATCACTTATTAATTTCAATCTTTTTGTTGGCCTTTATCTTAACATATCTATGATATAATTTATATCATAAAACAGTGTAATACCATTTTCAGTCTCTATTAATTAGTTATTTATAATTAAATTGAATATTGACCAGAAAATCTGATTCAAACGAAAGAAATATGATTTCTCTTCAATACATTATTCAACAGCAAATAAATTATTTGTAAATATATTTTGTAGAAGATTTCACTGAAACAAAATTATGAAAAATATCATCACAGTTAAACTGAAATTTCCATGAACATTCATGTACATTCATCAGTAAATTTCACAATATAAACTTAAATCTTTATTAGTACTTCTAATGTTGGTAATAGATAATGAGATAAGAACCATATTTCAAGAAAGAAAAAACTATTTAAGGTTAACACACTTACAGGTTAATAAAAACCATTAAAATCAAAGTTAGGAGAGATAGTCAAAATGTAAGGAATGTTGATATAAATTATTATCAATCTATTTTTTACCAGTGGGTTATTCTCATTTAATTTAGAAAAGGGCCTTATCCTCTTTTCTCTTCTATTGGTGTATACATATCCCAGGCCACTTTGGGGCAACAAAACTGGCAAGTCAGTGTTGATGCATACAGAAGTAAACATCTCACCCCATTTGAGTTACCTGGTCCTTCAATTCACAAGTTTTGGTGACCTGCTCTTTTCCAGGATTGAGTGCGCCATAGTTAAACTTAACTAGCACCTAAGGATTTTTCAGCTTTTAAATTAGAAGCCATTAAAACCAATTAAAATTAAGACATATGCCAAATTTTCCAGTTAAGTAAGGAGTTAAGCATAGTGTGGTTAACATATCCTTTCATATTAAAGTTAAGTCACAAATAAATACAGTTATAATTCATTAATACCCTTTCAACCTCACCCCATCGCCTCCCCACAACCCTAACTGTTTCATGTGAATCATAGATACAGAATTGCATCAATAATAAAACAACTAAAAAAATAATGATTACTTTGCAAAAAAAAATTCTTACATGTAACCGAGAGCTTCATCATTAATTATCAACATTTCGATGCGTGTAATTGTGCAGCCAATAGGTATCAAACACTTATTAATTATTAATTATGTTTAGAATTAATAATAATTAGAAACTTTTATGTTATTGTATGCAATACTTTATTTAAGTATATATTATCATTTTGGTTCTCAATACAACATACTATCTATAAGGGGCAGTAACAAGTTACTATATTCTAAGTTGTCTCCCTTTGGTCTTATCAAACGTAATATAGAATGACTCATTATTTTAACAAATTTAGGTTTTAAGAAATATTTAACCGGAAGTTTACCATAGGCTGTACTGAGCAGTGACAGTCAAATGGTAACAAATACACACTTGAGTTTGGAAATGTCCCGTGCTATTTAAAAAGGACCCAAAATAAAAGCACTACATCTTGGCAGTGTTGTAACGTGGAGAGGGTAGGAATGTGGCCCAAATCTCTCGCTATTTCAGAAAAAACTGGAGCTTTTGGATGCATTGACTTCCGGTGCTTACGTGTTTGAGTGTCTTGAAAGCTATAGCGAACATATGAATAGAAATATAAATAAGCAGTTTCTTTGTTTTGCATGCATTAGGTAATGTACGAATATATACAAAGAATCATTTGTATGAATTTGTACTAAGAATAATGTAAATAAACAAAGGCAATATACTCCTGACAGAAATAATATTTACAGTACAACCTGTACTGAACAACCACAGCCTTCTTTTACAAGTAACCTCTTTATAATGATAGCAAACAATTTTTCTGAAAAGTAAGACTTCTGAATATAAATTATACCCTCTGAAAAGCAAACACCTATCAACAACAACCAAAATCTTTCTCTCATAAAAGGTGTTGCTCTGCAAAGAATGTACTGTATGCCACAGCAATCCTTTAATTATCAAGTAAGACTGAAAGAGTCGATATGTTCAACAATCCCTAGGTTTACTAATTAAAAAACCTGTTAACTCATAATCATACTTTTCATGAAATGTAATAAATTTGTGCATGATATAAAAATAAATATAAATTTACCTGCCAACGTAGGAGTGTGCAAATTAAACAATACAGGGATAGTTAACTGAGAAAACAATGTTCAAGACATAAAAAAGAAAATGTTCATGAAAAAAGTTCATTAAGTAAGTTATCAAATCCTTTTGTACACTGTAAACTAAAGGGACTCCACTGAGTTTTAACAACTGGAAATACTTTTTTTCTAGATTTTAAACCTTTCGATTGTGACCATAATTTCAAATAATAATCACATAAATTACCAATTTTTTCAATTTAATTCAGAGTTTATTTGTTAATTACCTTATTATATTTGTTCATAAGGTGATTGTCCAGCTTTAATGGTGATAAATGCATAGTCCCTAACTGGATGCAAACCCACAGGCTGTGAGGGGTCTTAAGTAATTTAAATTTGACAATCTTAACAATAAGGAATTAAACGTTCCAAATTTTAAGTTGATTCTATTTTCATTATATATTAGAAAAACAGACTGATGAAACTTTGAGCATTATTTGTTTTCATTAGAGAAGCGCAGTGGTGGCACCAAAATGGCCTGTTAGGTTAAGCTTTCAGTGCCTAGGAATTTAGCATCTGTCTTTGTAGGGTGGGGAACTTTACCATTTAGAAATACAAAAGTCAAAATCCCTTTCTATTGCTTTGTAAAAGTTGTGCTTAGCTTACACTTTACTGCATGGTGCATTGTTCAACATTTTTGTGCTGTAGTTATTTAATATTATAACACAATAAGGAGACTCTTCCTAACTTCCAAGTCCATTCTTTTATTTTGGATAGGTTTGAATCTTCATGCAAGTCGAACATTTTTAGTGACATTGAAATCGGCATAACAACCAGACAGTCACACAGATAAAGTACTTTAAACAAACCTTTGCATTATGCTCTAATAATTCGACAATTTACTATCAGCACCTTGGTGCCAACAGTTGTTAATAATTATAAGAATGGCACATAGTTCCCATGGTTAGTTAGTTTAAAAAATCAAAACTTACGGAATGGGGAATCTATAGCTTGCACACCATCACTCTCCTTGAAGTTGTAATTAATTAAAATACCATGAAACAGTGATTAAACAGGGATTTAAAGTTTAGGCGTAACTTACATTCTTGTGTAATTTTTTGGCCAGTGTGATAATTAAAAAGGATTGCATGTGTACAAAACCATCTGATAATTGTTACTTTATAAAGTATTAAATTTGACTTATATTAAGCGCAGTCTTTTCTAATTATCAGCTTGACCTTAAGGAATTGTTAACATTCATTTTATTATTATGTCACCTCAGCATCTGCGATGTGGTGAAATATTTCAACTTTTTCTAATGTGCTTATGATGCCTACAGACTGTAGCCTTACTGAACCATGCATAAAGTAAGGAAGGTTTCTTTTGTTCATATACTTTCATTGTCCCCCCTTTTGAGGTCACAGTCAGGCGCTAGAAATAGGAAAGATTGTTTGAGCAATTGCTATAGCATCACCAAAATGTGGTAAATGTGTAATTAATATGCAAATTAATGGATCTTTTGAACTAGCATTTAAAGTCTTTATTCCAGTTGACCCTTAAGGTAATCTTTTATTCTTGTGTACAACCTAAGGTAACCATATAGGTTCACAAGATGCACAAGTTCATAATAAGCATAGCTTATAAAATGTTTGCTTGCTGTCCATTGTCAACTACTAATATGTTCTTATAACTTGTTTTTTGTTTACATTAGAATTGACATGAAACACTAAAGTGTTTGTCGTCATAGTTGTCTTCGATTCACAAAACATTCATATTTCAAATTGAAAAGTTTTCAAGTTATTTAAACCAGAGGAACAACTGTCAACCAAAATTGAAAAGTTTTCAAGTTAACCAGAGGAACTACTGTCGAAAACATCTACTGATGTGTTATTTAAGGTTCTTATGGGACTATAAAAGATAATTGAAACTTATCGAAATTACTGCATTGCACTGTCTCCTAATGAATCGGTATAAGGGTCTTATCCTTGTAACATTTATAACTTCGTTAGTCATTACAAGTCATTGTAAAACTGTGTCTAAAATTGTTAGGTTTTTGAAAAATGAACAGTTTATACCCCTCTTGTGCAGACTCTTTTCGCAATGGTGCCAATGCGTCCTTGCTTTAAGTGAAGATTTTTTTTCTCTCGGAATTTAGTTTCACGTATTGTAGTGCCATGTATAAATGTTGTGTCATTTTTTTCAGTGCTGGTGTGTTTGATGTGAACAGTTATCTTTACTTTTCAGCGTAGCGACGATGCTGGCAAAGATGTATAATAATCAAATGTTTTGTTTCTCTTTCAGATCGCTCAATTTTTCCACATCACCAGGGGAGGAATTTGACTTTACATTTGTGAAGAAACCAAAAACTATTAGGGTAAGCTGTTAATTTCAGCTCACCTAATCCATATACTAAATGGCCTGAAAGAAAATGCAAATGCGGGCATAACGCTCTTAACTGAAAGTTAAAGCGGGCATATTGGCCTTTTAGTGTAAGGCAGTTAAGATTCTTATATGTGTCACTTGTAGCACTTAGAAGCGTTATGACGTGGCACTGTGACTTTTTTGAAAACCTTAATATTGAGTTTGTATCGAAAAAGATATATTTAAGATATATCAAGGACATTTCTTTTTCAGAATATATAAACCAAGTATTATATATCTAAACCATTCACACTGAACATCTTAAAATGGATGTTTCAGTTCAGAATGAATTTCACATTTTTTCTGAGCAACTTTTTACACAAAAATGAGTCGCAAAACTTCAAAAATAAAACATTAAAATTGTTTTATTTATTTATCAATGGCATTAATAGATGAATTTTTGTGTAAATTTTAAACCTTTTTTTCAATAATTTTATTATTTCCTTTTAATTGTTTTCATGCATGTACTATTTTGATTTATTAGTTTATTCAAACCGATCAATCTAAATCATATGTTATCTTAACTTACGTTATCTGGACACAATTTAAGATTCCATTGCTTTTACAGGACCCAATGTCACACAGAATTATAGAGAAAAGACGGAGGGACCGTATGAACAATTGTTTGGCGGATTTGAGTAGACTGATTCCAACAAACTATCTGAAACAGGTACTGCTTTTACTGAGATACAACATCTTTTATCACAATACTAACACAACTGATTTGGAACAGTAGTTTAGTCTATTCAGTGTTTGGCTTTTGAAAACAGAAACGCTTGAAAGAATTAGGCCATGTACAAAATTCTTTTTCGGAGATGGTTTAAAAATTCTGTTAATTTGCCATTTATTTGACAGTCTGAAGTTAGGTTATAGTAAAAGGGAAACCTGAAAAAAACAAAACATACAAAAGTATGATCCTAAAAAGCGAAAATGAAAATGAGTTTGTCGTTTGGAAATTGCTAACTCATACATTTTAATTTTATTTTACCAAAAAAAAAATCGAAATGAAATTGGATCTAAAATTATGGAACTTTGTTCGGTTGGTACAAATATCTAAATTTTACCAAAAACTGGAATGATTTTAAGTTGGATTTAAAAACCATGCATCTTGATTGATTGATAAGATACGAAACTTGGGAAAAAATATTTTAAAATGTAAAATCTAAATGATGCACAATATGAAATTTGATGAAAATGGCATTACCAGAACATTTATAAAAATTCAACATGGCCTAATCGCGACTTTGGCAGAATAAAAATTGTATATATAAATACGCAAGGCTGTAAAAATCATTGTATTTTGTTATCTCTTGGGTTTTTTTTAATTATGAACGGTACTATACAAATAATTTTTGAATACTGCAAACAAGAGTGAATGTCAGGAAACCAGCATAGGCTTGACAACGAACGTTAAATAATAGTTTTTCTTGAAAAAATGATTTAAGAAAGGGAAGTGAATATACACCGACAACTTGATAAGGCAAAACTTTCAGAGCAAATCTCCCTACCTTGATCAAATGTTTAACTGTTAATTACGCTTAACTTACTTCTTGTTCTTTTACGTTTGAAGCAATATTTTCATTTTTAAAATTCTAAATACCTTATTTTTTGTATTCTCAATTTATCATTATTTTAAGAAAAGGTTACATTTGCCGGGATTAAATAATATTTAAGGGGGTTCTGTAAAAATAAGAATAAGAAAGTAAGGGAATAACATTTTCTATGATTGACGTTTTTGCATTTAACAAAGTCCAATGATAGACACAGCCTTGCATGCAACAGTAAATTGCCACGGTGCTTGCTATATGCACAGACGATACAAAAATGAACTGTTAAAAGTACCTGCTTCAAGTAAATGAATAGAACATAAAGAAAACAAAAAACTATAACATTGTGAAAAAAGATGTTCACGGGTACATCGAGGTGATGCGTTTAAAGTTGTATCGTGCTTCTTCGTGTAGCACTAGATACGGCCAACATAAATTAAAGTAGTATCCGGTTTCTTCTCTTAGAACATAATACAACCTTATACAGTAACACCATGCTTATATTAAACACCTGCATAAATTCAAGTATTTGCATTTTTTGAAAATCAAAATACTTTTTTTTCAGTTTTGGCCAATTAAGTAATCTGATATTATTTGATTCAGATATATTTGAATTTTTGCAGGGTAAAGACACAATAGAAATGAAATGTCAAAAATGACATGATTCTGAACAGACTTTTGCATTTTTTCTAATCAAAGATGCTGCTAGAAAGTTATAAATCCATGAATTATGGTATAAGCATGATTAAATGGAAAAGCCTATTTAATGGAGTAGGATACCTTCGAGTGTTTTTGTAAATGCAATTAGAAAACCATAGTTATATTAAAAAAAAACAATTTCAAATTTTAAGTAAAAGTCAAAACAAAATATATAAAAGACTACCCCTTGTTAAGCTTATCAGTAAAATGCTATCAGTATTGTCCGATTTCTTGTAAAACTAATCGGATGGTTGTCCAAGGCCCGAGATTAGTACCATTGGATTTACATTATATATTATTCAAGAATTTCATTTGCAGAAGATTGATCTGCTTGGACGAAGGTATCTTTAATACTACTTTAAATGGCACTTTGTTACCACAAAAAGTGACTATTCATGATTAATGGTTTTATATAATTTTTTATTATTTTTTTGTTTGTTCGATAGGAAATATTTCTTTTTAGGCCACAGTTTCTGGTGGCAGCATCTCTGATCATACAAAATGACAATGTAGCCGCACACTTCCTTCGAGAGGGGCGACATTTTGTAAATTGGCAATTCCCTTTGCTTTATTTAATTTTCTTTTGTAAATTTTTCGTAGAATGATAACAATTAGCATAAGAAGGTCTTGAAAATTAAATGATATATACATATATTTAATTATTAAAAGTACCATTGTATTTAAAGTAGATTTTTTATTTATCAAACTTGGATCTAATGTTTATTATAATGCCAAAGTACATAATGTCAGCCTCTCGGAAGAATAGTCTATGACAGGTCAATTTACTTTTGATACAAGCAAGCACATCAGGCGTTAACTTTGGGTGTAATATGCCAAGTAAAGATTACTTTTTGTTCGAGCCTTTTTACGTATGTTGACATGTGATTTTTTTGTATTATTTATATGATAGTCCTTTTTTCTTTTTGTTCACGTTATAATTTTGATTATTATTTGAAATATTTCATTTTTGTTTCATTTGTGATTTCAAAGTGACTTAATTTTTTGTCCTATACTTACTATTTAGCTTAGTTTTTACAGAATTTATGTTGACAAACTAAAGCAAGGGTAGAAAACAAACACGACGATTTAGAAATAGATAACTAATCAGTACTAAACTATGTGAAGATTTTGCTTAAAATTATTAATTTTTAGTACAATTCTCCGGATAGCTTTTACTCTAGACCGTTGGATTTTTTTACTTGCAATCTTTAAATAACGAATTGCATTAAAATATCAAGAAACTTTCTATAGGGATTTAAAAAAAAAACAACTTAGTATTTCATTTAAATTAGTGTTCTTAAAATTCAAAGTCAGCTAGAAATGAAATACTTCTTTCTTTGCTACTGGTTACTCTTTTATCACAATTTTTATATTTTCCTTCATGAGCAACAAGAATTTTCTAGAAAGAAAAAAAAACAGGTTCAAATATTAAAAACAAAATATTATTTTGAATAACCCCATAAATTACTTGAGAAATTTGAAAATATCAACAAATACATTTGTTATGTCCATGTGCAATATTACAAAGCCTTTTGTTTGAAATCTGCATGAAAGCGTGATAGGAATATTGATCATTTAATACACATGGTCGAACATGTGACTGAATGTCTGTCTCTGGTTCCTATCGGTTTTTCATTCATAGTAAAAGCAGAGTAATCACCTAACAGTGATAGATAAACATTATTTGCTTATTGCCTGCCTCAGCGTTGATGTTATGGAAAAATCACTAGATAGAACAATGAAAAAGCTCAGGTGTAATTTGGCTAAAGTAGGATTAGCCTAAGAGCTTGTCACATGTTGAGGCATGCCGTTTTGAACAAGATACCTCGTCAAACCTGACAGAATCTGAAATGGTATAATTAGAAACATGTTGTGATAAACATGATTCGCCAAATGTAGTTTGCTAGAAGTTGTTGCATTATTAATTTTCTGATCAAAATTAATTTTTCGAAAGTATTGTTTCCAACATGGTGCAAATACATGCAGCTGTAAAGACAGCAACTAGTGTATGATTTGTGATTGTATTTTTTTTTCTTTCTCTTGTAATGGTTGATAGATACGTCTGAAATCTCTATCTTATTGCTTTTCATTGTTTGTAAATCTTATTCAACGAATATGATGCACAAGCTGCAACAAACCATCTTTTTTTTTTAAAAAAAATAACTGAAATGTTTGTAACATACCATATTTTGTACTGGTTTTATAATGAAACAATACATTTGAACGTTTACCAAGAATAAAGTTAACAACAAATTGATATGCCGTTTAAGGAGAAATTCAAAAATGAAATTCCAATAATGAAAGTCTAGCACGTGCACCTTGGTGTCCAATTTCGTTACCTGAAATAAGTTTAATGTTCAATTAAATTTCTGTATTAAAAGCCATTCCTCTTTTGTTGCTGCTTAGCTTTAAACGAGGTCAATTGTTTATGAGGATCAAAATGTAAAGAACTGGTTATATTTCCCTGTTTAGAATCCCATGCGGTCTTTATTCAATAGTGGAAAATATATCTTGAAGTGTTATAGTGTGTATTCTTTTTAATTTTAATTTTGTATGTTAGTTATCCTTTTAGAAATCTGAATTTATCCTTTCCATCATTCAACTAGCTCACTTAAAGATGTTCATTGGACTTTACTGATTTTATTTTTGTTTCGATTAAAAATATAATCCTTTCCATCATTCAACTAGCTCACTTAAAGATGTTCATTGGACTTTACTGATTTTATTTTTGTTTCGATTAAAAATATAATTATTTAATATTTTTTACCATATTTTTTTAGTGTGAATGACATTGTTTAAATTACATATAAGTTTGGCTCGAGATATGAGATTTTTATTTTGTATTAATGTAAATTGAAGCGGCATTTCATAATTCATAATTCTTTTCTTTTACATTTAATAAAATGAAAGTCATTTCTGAATTAAGATACAATATGAACGTTTTACAGATTGACAATGAGTGCATAATTTTAAGGAAAAACGTATATGAATTTTTTGTTTCTTGTTAGTTTTTTTTCAATTTAGTGATATTTAATACTAATGACTAGAAATGTAATATCTTAATGTTTATTGTTTTATTTTTATTAATATTTTTTAAAGAAGTTTTATCCTTGGTGATTGTAGTTAAAAAGCTAAGTTTTCCTTTTTCATTTGATGAATGTACATGTATAGAATTGTAGTCAAACATTTTCTTTTAATTTATGAAAACAAATGAAGTGCCGCTTCATGGTTTTGTGATTGTTAACTTTACAATATTTTGACTCTATGAAAAGTTTGTTCTGACTTGACATTTTTACACCAAAGTTAACACATGATGTGATCAACCTTATGTCAAAAGTAGATGTACCTGTTATGTTCATGTTTTTCACAGATGCCCTGAAATGTTCGGTTCACATTCAGAAACTTTTTCGATTTTTTTTTTACTTTTAATTATGTACAAAGGGTTTATAAATCATTTTATCTGAAAACATATATTTGATGTTGTATAACATCACTGTATTTTTTTAAAGAAATGATTGGAGGTAGAGAACAGTTATGAAGTTGATATGATTTCTAAACCTTTTGTCTTTTTCATCACAATTTATTCCTTGTTTTTATCATTACCCCTAATCTACATATGTATACTTCAGCTAGCTTATATAGTCGCAGGTACTTTAAATACGCAAAAATATCCCCTGGGCCTACGCTGGTATGTAAACTTGGGTTTGTAAAATATATTCTGCCATCGGAAAAACTGGTATAATCTTCTTTTCATCTGATTTTGTCAACGCTGGATTTATAGTATTATTGTTTAAGCAGGATAGAGTGTTCTTTTTCTTATGTTCTTCTGTTATACTAACACTAACCGATTCATGTTTCTTACTTTACATTTCTTACTACTTTCCATGATACCATACGATTTAAGTAACAAGTTTGAGTTACATTATTAATTTTCATTTTCATTTGTAATATAATACTGTAGGAATAGTAATCATCGTGTTTTATCTGTAATATTTTATAGTTTTTAATAAATCTTTATTTACTTAATCATCATTAGATAATTCATTTGATTAATTGCTTTAAATATATTTAACACTGTCAATTTAAATAATCTTATGTACACACCATTTATTGGTGTCAAACCTGCCATTACTTGTAACTTACCTTTCACCTTTGATTTACAGGGTCAAGGACGGATTGAAAAAACGGAGATTATAGAGATGGCCATTAGGCACATCAAAAATCTCACTAACAAAACAAACACACAAGGAGGTAAGCAAAAAAGTTTATTATTAACATAATTGTATTAAAGAAATAGTAAAGGAAGCAACCATTTTTGGTGTTGCATGTTTTTTTTTTCTCAACTAAATGAAGCTATTAGTTCTTATTCAACACTATTCTTTCTTATTCAACGTGTATATCTGATTGATAAAGTGACGATGGTAAGCAAAAAAGTTTATTATTAACATAATTGTATTAAAGAAATAGTAAAGGAAGCAACCATTTTTGGTGTTGCATGTTTTTTTTCTCAACTAAATGAAGCTATTAGTTCTTATTCAACACTATTCTTTCTTATTCAACGTGTATATCTGATTGATAAAGTGGCGATGGTAATTTACAGAACAAACAGGTTAATACTAGTGAGATCTAGTTACACTAGTTAAGTATCTGTCAGCGGTTTTATTACTTCAAGGCTGCTAAATATTGTGCTTAACCCAGTAAAACAATAGTATGTTCTAGTTATTTATCTATTATTACTCTTATAAGGTTTTAGTTGAAGTAGAATTTTACGCAACGTTCTTTGACTTGTATGAATAAGCAAACATAATTGGGATATGATACAAAAATTACAAAAATAATTCAACAGATGGACACAAAGGGAAAATAATATTTTTCAATTGAAATCTCATTTTATCCTCTTCGAAGGGAGATGCAAATACTGCCTTGTCCATCTTCCGTCCGTCTGTCCGTCCGTCTGTCACATTCTTTCTTCCGGAGGATAACTTGAAAATTATTGAAAGCACTTTATTTAAATTTCTAACAGTGATACAATTCATTGAAAGGACGTGCAGTGGTCAAGAATCATAACTCTACCTTAATTTTTGAATAATTTTTTATAATATTAATAAATGCGTGCCCTGAAATTAATTCTAAACTATCAAGATTGTCTTTGAAACTATACACAATTAGTAGAGTCTCGAAATAGGAAGTGTAAAATTAAAGAACCATAACTCTGCATTTCTAAGTAATACTTAATGATAGATACCATTGAAAGGAAGTGCAGTGTCAAAGAACCATATTTGTGTCTTCCTTATATTTTAACAATCTCTTTTTTTGCTCACTCTTCATGCTCATCAATCTTTATTTATTGTGATGTCTTTCTTATCTGGTTGGAAGAAATATTGGGGTTTCTTCTTACTTTGGATGAAGTAAGTTAGTACGGGGGTCCATGTAACTGGTACAAAAAATTAGATTTTTTTCAATTTTGCTCTGGCAGCTTTTGTCGATGAATGTACATTAAAAACATTGACAAATGTGTAGGTTCGGAAACATCCATCTTCTACATCAATATTTTCATTATACCGATTTCAATACTGTGTATATATAGATAATGTAATTATGTAATGTATTTTATTTAAAAGGGCTGAAGTCAAGTCTGCCCGACCGCTTTCTCGGATTCAAAGAATGCCAAGATGAAGTGATGAGGTACCTGGTGGAAGTGGAAGGTTGGGATGCCCACGATCAACTTTGCAGCAGGATGATGTCGCATCTAGAACAAGCCGGCGAGAAATTCCGGATAATGAACGGTAACATTTACATAAGTTTCAAAATTTATGCTGGTTTCTTAATGAAATACTACCTCGGAGAAAATGTATTTGTTATATAAAAACGCATTATTTATCTGCATATGTTATTTGTACAGATTATATCTCTCTTATACTAAATATTCTTTAAAATGAGCAATATTGGTTGTAAATGAAGATATTTATTTTTAAAATTAAACAAATACCTTAAATTGTAGATGAATCTCTAAGCCAAGCCGCTAAAGAAGAGCAGTATAGACACGTTGAGGAAGATATTCACGCCGTTCACAATGGTCAAACTATTGTTCTTGAACCTGGAGGTACAGGTCCCCCACCTCAGTTTTACCCAAGCCCACCTCAAAATACAGCCCAGATCACTACACCGCCTCAGCCAGCTGCTCAGAGTGAAAATACAAGCCCACAAAATTCATTTCCTAGTTTTGAGTCATTTGCCAGTGCACAACAAATTACGCAAGAACATTTGAAAAGGGATAAACACCTGTGGACTTTACTTGCAAGTAAATACAACGCAAAGAATGTTGTCGAAGATTCGGGTCTTTCTACTGGTCCAGGGTCCAATATCTCCAATACAACAGATTCAAGTATGAAATACTCTGGTAATGGCTCATACAAAATTCCATTAGAGCCAGTGCCGACATTAAACAATTCGAGTAGCCAAACGAGTATGGACACAAGTTCAGATAGAAATGATAGTAGTGTATACAAATTCAAGCATAATATAACAAAGCGGTTTTCTGAGGAGACAACGCCTAAGATGGCAAATCCGAGTGATTCATCATCCATAAGCTCAAGAGAAGATCAAAAGCGATGTGAGAAAATGAAGAGAAAGTTCCGTCATGTTCGCTCACGAAGTCCGAGTAGCATCTCCTCTCAGTATCCGAATTCGGACAGTTCAAATAACAACAGTAGCTCTAACGGAGAATCAAGCAGTACAGGGGACGAGGTAAAGCCATCCTGTTACCTCCCAGGATTTGTATTACATCCTGTGGGAACACATTACATTCCCTTGTCAATCCATCCATCAAATGTTGGATATGACTTTTTTGCCAAAGCTACTCAGCAAGGGCCAAGGGTGTTCCATCCAATCAGCATTCCAGTGAATTTTGGTGGACCACTGATATATATGAAAAATATTGGAATTGAATCGAAAGCAAATGGGTCAGGGGTACAGAGTCTCTCATCTGAAGGTAGCAATAGCAGATGTCCATCCGGCTGTCCATCGGAAAACAGTCCCAATCCGGAGCCGGAACCCGTGAAAAGTGCTAGTTAAACATACGTCAGTGTTTATAAACTGAATTTATAGTTATGTCAGAGTTCTTGCGGTCTTGTTTAGTTATTTTATGAACAAAATGATTGAATCAGCTCAAGGTTCGCATATTTATATTTGATATTCTTGACAAATGTTCATCAAATGCCATAACTTCATTGTCTCACCGCATATTTTCATCATTGTCATCATATATATTACATAAGATGCATTGCGAATATACATTGCAATACACGTGACGAGTATCATTTTTTATCAAGTTTTATATTTCATCCATTTTTTATCACGTGTATCATACGGCGGTGCTGATAATTTTATTATACACTCGATCGTTATTGTTGTGTCGTGAATACAAATGTGACACTTATTCTGTAAATGCTACATGAATTTAGAGCTGTCTTCATATTTATATCCTATATGTAGCAGATACATTTTTTTCTATTTCTATTGTGTTAAAAACGTTTTGTATTTATCTGTGAAAAATAATGTGTATAAGTCATTGTTTAAATTGATTATGTATTTCTATCATTTATTATATGTGTTCTTAGATATTCAGTTTCTAACTTATAATAAGGTAATATTATTATTTATTCTTCAATTTCATTGACTTTTATGCGTGTGCGATTCTCCCAGAGATCGAATCAGTCATGCTTTCATATTCTCTAATAAAAGAATAGTTTTATTCAATAGGCGATTATTATATTTTTAATAGATTTTTCTTTTTTAGATTCTAAGATATATTATTGTTTAATATAATACTAAAATTAATTAAGATATTTGATTTATTATTTCTTTTTTTTTAAATAGAAATTGCTAAACTTTATGTGAAAAGAAATGAACACTAAAATGTTAACATGAGAAATTGTGTTTATTATGGTGGATGACTTCTATATGTCTTCCTGTGCACATGTTCTTCAGTAAAATTCTTTATAAAATTCGTTTGAATTAAGGTTATGTTTACTTTCCAATGTTCAACATATTTGGTTATGATATTTATAGAATAACTAAATGTCTAATTAAAGTGGCTAAAGCCCCTTTTTAAACGCAGACACTTAGGGTTCAGACTGGCTAGAGAAGTTTAATATTTATCATTACTAGGTTGTTTTAAATGGTTTTCCATATTTTCTGAATAGGATTTTACTTAATTTGGCCTAACATAGAACGGGCAAATCTGACAATATTCTGAATAAAAGCGCTTCCGTATCAAAAGAAGACTAAAACAGTATTTTGATTTGGTAAAAAATTAACATTGTTTTGTAGGACTTATATCTAAAATATGGATATTAATCATTTGCGATGATCAAAAATATCACTTGACTTTGAAGCGACCTTGGCCATTTGAGCCCTAACTGTCTGTTTTGTTATATTAGTTTGGTTTTATGCATTATCGTTGTTTAGTAGCTGTTGTAGAAAATAATTTTGAAAAAAAAAATAAAAAGAAATGTCGTCTTGATGAAAAGTATTAGTTTAACTGAAGAGTTTGTATAATGTATAGGACAATTAAATATTATTTTTACAAAGGAAGTTTTTTGTGCACTATGTATGCGCCTTGCATATCTTTTTCACAGAAGTGGTTTTATGATAGTGTTGCCATTTTTAGATAAACTTGTTATTAATGTTGTTTTTGTTTCATTATTGAATTTTGTTTTTAGAAAAAAATGGCACATATATTTTAAAGTTTGGAATTCGACGGTTTTAAGGTTTCGAGGATTTTGAAACTGTGATAAAAGTTGTTTTCCGTTATTGATAAGTATTATACAATAAGGAATTTGTGATTATTTTACTTTGTTGATTGTCCTATAATATGATGGTTGAAAAAGGTCCATAATTTTGCCATGTTTGATATGTGGTAGTTTGTTAAGAATAAAACAATACCTGTATTCCAATATTTTATCAGTAATTGCAATATGTGCGTTGACTTTGCGAAGCAATGGTTCATGTTAGGCAGCCATAATAAATGACATGTTTTTGTTACTGATGAAATTTTTGAATATATGTATTATTGATAAATTGGTGGATGTTTTAGCTGGTATTTTAGAATTGTGATGTTGTAAAGTTTTTTATTTGCTCAAGTTATCGTAAAAACATACAAACTTGTAGCACATAGGAAAGGAAACACGGTCTTTTTTGTAAAGTATTTTTATAGTTTGGCATAAACTATTAGTTGTTATCTAATGAGGAATTTGATACAAAGACAATACATTTCAAAGTTTTAATAAGAAATAAAGATTTACTTGTAATTTTCATATTTTCATATTTGGGAAAAACACGTTGTAAGAATTTCAAAAGTTTTATGATTGATATTATTTTGTATAAAGAATACTAAAAATAAAGAAAACTGATAAATAACCAATATCTTGAAATTGTTAAGAAATTTTCTGAAGGGTGGAGCAAAACAAATCTTCATGTTTAAATAAGGTGAAAAATGTATCTGATTTGTATTTCATTTGTCATGCTTTGAATTTGATTTAACTTAAAAAGGTCATATGTCAGCTTTGACTGATTTTTACTTCTAACTGAAGCAACATTGCAGTTAAGGTAATTTTTTTCTACATTTTAGGGTAAAAAGATGTTATATCATCTATTGATATTGCTCAATACTAACAGTCCATTGCAAAATTGCATCTTGCAATATTACTAAGTTGGTAGTTATGTAAATATTTGTTACTTTTTGCGAGTTTATAATTTGAATTGTTCGTTTCAAGACATAATTTAAATATGACCTTTTCTTACTGATAGTTTGATTTATAGTAATGTATTCTCTCTTCCTGACAAAAAATGCTCTTCCCTTAAATAACACGTTTTTGTTTGGGTTTTGCTTATCGTTTTTGAGGTTTTTGATAAGTTTTTTTCTTCTAAATTTTCAATTTTCAAATATTTTGGCACTTTTGTTTTGAGAATAACAACTCGTATACACAATTAATGGAATAGATAAGCAATTGATAATTGTCTGTGCTAAGAGGCGTTGGATAAGTTACACATCCAAGTATCTCTCATGGACAGACTCGGAATTTTTAATTAATAAATTGCTGTTTCCTTTATTTCCATTTTTACTCCAAGTTTTGTTTCTACAATTAAGACACAATTTAATTTTTTATGTTTAAATTTTAATTGAAATCCCTTTTCCCATTTGCAATGTGATGAAAAATCTCATATTTTGCAAAGCAATAACGTATTTCCTGCTTATATTATTATTAAACTGTGACTTACATATGTTAGTTTTCATCAGTTTCGTGCAGTGTTTGTTACTATCATCTAAACTCATGAACTTTAACGCTATTATTGGTTAAACTAATAAGAAACATGTGGAAATAGAGAATTCGGAAGTGTTATTAAGGACTTTCAGGGATATAGATAAGATTTGATAAAAGTATCTCTTATGCTTAAACAATGTTCTTGTACTTTTTTATTAACAGTTTAGAGTTTTAAAAGTTATAAAAAGTATCAAAGTTTCCAGACATCTTTAAAATTGACATTATATTTTATTTTTGTTAACAATTGTTAGATATAAATTAGAAAGTTGTTAAAGAAAAGACAAAATTATACCATATTTTAGAAATTTTTAATTGTTATGTTTTTTAAGAAAAAGGAAAAAATGTTATTTTAGCACATATACATTGTTACATAAATAAAATTGTTTGTTCATTATCATCAAATTAGCTGTTATAAATAAAATAAACATGTTTTGTTGACAAAGTTAAACGTTTTATTTGTGCTCTCTTCAACCTTTTTAGTATATCACATTCAATTCAGATAAAATTACATATATGTATATAACCATACCTTGCTTTTGACCACCTTAAAGCTTGGAACCATGACTTACATTTGACCACCTCACAGTTGGCATATAATCCTTATTTTGTAGATTTTTAACTTGAAAATTTGATATTTAACCATGAAAATTGACAAGATAGATTTGAACAAATCTAATCACCCCCTACCCCCCCCCCAAAAAAAAATGAACTTTGAGACAAAATTCGAGGCAGTTCATAAAAATCCTAATTGCTAACGATTACACAGTTGTTGCAGGGGAACGATAATGAAAAAAATTTATCTTTTAAAATAGGGTTTGTTGCATATTTCAATGAGAATTTGAACAAATAACAAGAATGTGAATTAAACCATCGTTACATTTGAGAGAAGCATCCTATTTGGCAATTGGAGTATATTGTAGTCAATGAAACTGCTTCCTGATGAACACGAAAAAACTTTTTTTTCACAACATCTTTAAAAGTTAGACTTTTTGTTGTTTTAATGATAAAATTTCATTTAAAACGTCTTTATAAATAACCTATTGTATTATAAAGACACGATATGTTTTTATTACCATATCCCTGTGATTTATTTTTTTCAAATTAACAACAGACCATGACCAATTTAAACAAGAACAAAAAGGAAGATTTAAGAATCAGTCCATGATTAGGATCAAAATTTCAAAACTCATAAATTTCCATTGTTTCTAAACTCTAGATATTTTATTAATTATTGAAGGGCTTCCTTAGCTGCTAGGCTATGTCGTTGAATTCAAGCGACTTGTCTTTCATTGCTTTGCGTTCAAATCTCGCCAAGGAATTTGGATTCGTTCATGATATGAATGACAGGAATCAATCCGACTAGCTTAAGGAGCATCGATAGGTCTACTCAGGTGCCCGAAATATGCACGAAGGGGGGCATCAGAGATCTTCCTCCACAAGTAAAGCTTGAAAGTCGTTAAATTCCTAGTGTCTGTGTTGGTGCGACGTTAAATCCAACCAAAAATTGTCATTATTGAAAGAAATATGTATGTTTAATATACATCCAAACAATAGTATGAAGACAGCGTATTTAACTTTCTTACCAATACACAATTATTCTAAAAAAAATATTTTAAACTAATTCATTTAGTTGCAACTTTTATGCATTTTATTTCTAACCTAAATCTAGCTTAAAGTCAAGAAGTTTCAAATTATATCTATTGCCTTGCTTCAAATTGACTGAGAAATGTTAATATTTTCCGAGAAAAAAAATGTCATTTCTGCTCCGTATTCTTAGATCCTGCATCAATGTTACAACTATGCAAGCAGTTTAATTGCTATTTCAGAGCATTCTCGTAAAAAAAATGCAAAAATTATTCAAATAGATGTTTATAATGAAAATGGTCGTTGACACACAGATAAATGAGTAGACCGTAATGTAATGATTGATTACCTTCAGTGTGCGAGTAAATCTTAGTGAGTCATGATCAACAAGTATTGGTCCAGGAGCGAGAAGCGCTCAGTTAGTAATTCCGAGTGGTGAGTATTACTGTATTGTATCACTGACAATTACTCACTGACCATTACTCAGTAACTTTTACTCGCACATACTTAATTAGGCCTACTAACTTATCTGTGTGGCAACGTCCATTTTGTTTATATTGACACACTCTTAGTGTAAATTATCGTAAAAGCTTGTAGACCATTGTTCACATTGCGTAATAGGTCATAACTACTGAATGACATGCTACAACGTACTTTGTACCGTATTGTACGTGTCTACCAAAATAAAACAGTCGTTCAAGCTGATAGTAAAGCAATTGTCACAGTTAAAAAAAAAACATTTAGTATCCTATTATGGTATTACATTTCTGCCCTATGTATTTATGATTATTCATGAATTAAATGACACCTGGCTGTACGCATTTTATAAGTTTAGATGGAATTGTCACATGGCAGTGTATAAAATAAAAGAAAAAACATTTAATAGAAAAGTATGAAAAGTAGCAAGCATGCATGTTCTAACGGACAACTTGTTGCATTAACACAATCCATTTGAGATACTGGACAAGAAAATGTGAATGTCGTTTCCTTGATGTTGTGATATTATTTGTGTGGTTAACATAATGAAGCTTTTATGTGACATTTAGAATTATTCTAGCACATCATGACAAATCACAAAAATATATATCAGGCACATGTATGCATCATTGAAAAGGCGCACATCGTAAAACTCTAAAGTGTATGTCGTGTTTGACTTTTATGTTAATCCTGACTGTTATGTTGGTTCTGAAAACCCGCTCTCATTCGTTTAAATGGTCGTTATTTGTATGTATGTGAATTTTATTTTATATTTTACACATCCGAGTAGAACTTTTAGGATCCATGGCCGTTCAACACTTTTTCGTATTTTTTGAGAGAAAAAATATTTGCTTGAATTTGAACAACTAGTACTAGCACATCTCAACTCCTTTTTACAACATGTGTTACAAGACCTTTTTTCGTATAAAGGCCAACATAACCATTGTGTGACGTCTTAAAAAATAAATTTCCCATTTGTATTGGACTTGAAGTTATCTCGCACGGAAGGTATACAATATTCGAAAGGTCAAACTGACTGTATCCAATAATACATGAACGTACATGGAGTCGGTCGTGGCAACGATGAAAGACAAAACATACATGTGTAACTCAATGTATATATCTACATCAATGGTTACAAGCATTGACTATAACACGATCTTGGTTCCTTCTTTGAACTTGCCAGCACCAGATTTCTGCTCCCAATAAATTTCTAAAATACGCAATTTATATCAATATATTTTACAACTATAACATTAAGATTAGGTTTCTCTAAAACAGCAATGCCTGGTATTTTTACATATTCGTTTTTCCGTCTGCGAAAAAACGAAATGCAGAAATTCGAAAATGTAACTATGCTAAAAAGCAAAAATGCAACAATGCGAAAAAGCGAAAATGCAATTTAAAGAGACGACAAAGTTATACTTTTTGAATTTTGAACGCGAAAATGAGAAAAATACGACAGGTGGAATGCGGATATACGATCAATTTTATGTGTCGTATTATCGTCCTCCTGTCGTAATTTTGCTTTTTTGCCCCGAAAACACGACGAGACGGCAAAATCCACCTTTTTCTTAAAGTTTTGATGCGTAGGAATTGCCCACGAAGGCCGTAGGTCTGAGTGGTTAATGTTTTCGCAACAAAACGGGTCACTCACATATGGAGGTTGATTCTGTTGTTTTGACAATTAAAGGGGCAAAGAAAATAACGTTTGTTTGTTTGTTTGTTTTGGGTTTTACGTCACATCGACACAGTATAGGTCATATGGCGATGTTCCAGCTTTACTGGTGGAGGAAGACCTTAGGTGCCCTTCCGTGCATTATTTCAGGCACGAACGGGCACTTGAGTAGAACCACCAACGTTCCGTAAGCTAGCTGGAAAGCTTCCTCACATGAAAGAATTCAAAGTCCCTGTCGGGATTCGAACCCACAGCGGTGAGGGGCAAGTGGTTTGAAGTCAACGACCTTAACCACTCGGCCACGGACGCCCCCGAAAGAAAATAACGACTGTATAACTATGTACCATTTCAGTGGTGTACATAACTGTGCCAATGAAATATTACCATGTTATTGATTTCAAAGACTTTGTGAAATG